CCTCTCTGGGATGTCTCAGCTCCATCTCAAGCCTGGGCTGCCTGCAGATGGCAGAAGTTCCTTGAATGGAGGTAGCCGAAGCCTTGTGCGCTGCAGATGGCACCTGGCTGCGGTGGCAATGGTGGTGATACAATGGGTGAGAGAAACCGATTCAAGGCAGCCCTGACAGATTGGAAAGTTGGGCTGAGACCAACAAGATGAAATTCACCAAGGATGAGAGCTAAAGCCTGTTCTCAGGCTCCAAAAACATTGGTTACATAAGCACAGGCCTGAGGAATATGGTTAGATGGGAATTTCTATTAAAAAGGAGGAGATGCGTGCAATCCCATCTACTCCTGGCTAGCTACTCCAGTCTGAGGTGGGGTGTGGAATGGGGTCGTGAGTTCAAGGACAGCTTAGGCTGCATAGTGAGATGCTACCAAAAGAGGAGGAAGAGAAAAACAGATGGAAGTGGGGGGAGGGGAAGGAAAAGAGTAAGAAAAAAAGAGGAAGAGAGAGAGAAAGGGAGGGAGGGAAGGAGGACAGGGAAGACCTGGTGGCTTTGTCCCCTTAAGTAGAGAGGCTTAACCAGAGGGAAGCCTGCTGGGTCCTCTGGGGGCGGCCCTCCTTGTCATAGGTCTCCTGGGGGGAATAGGTTGTGCTGAGGGGGATCCAGTTTGTCATTCATGAAGCTGGAACCAATGGGATTCTCTGGGAGAGAGATCTGCTCCTACCTCTCTGGCCAGGTGACTCCTCAAGAAGAAGGGGGTCCATTACTCAGGGAAGACAAGCCCCTCCTCTGACCAACAATAGCACCATTCATTACGCCCATGCTCCTGTCAGAACTGGCTGTGTAGACCAACCTGGCCTTGAACTCACAAAGATCTTCCTGCTCTGATTAAAAGTCGGTGGCACCCCGCCACCGCCCATCCCACCCCCCCACATCACAACCACACTACTAGGTAGAAATGATTATAATTGTCATTTTAAAGGATAAATGAGACAGAACATGGCGGCTCGCATTTGAAATTCCAGCACTCCAGAAGCGGAGACAGGACGATCGCCATGAGTTCAAGGCCAGTCTGGGCTACCTAGTGAGTTTCAGATCATCCTGTCTTATTTATGTATTTATTTATTTATTTTAATTTTAACTTTTTTTTTTTTAAGGTTTTTCGAGACAGGGTTTCTCTGTAGCTTTGGAGGCTGTCCTGGAACTAGCTCTTTTAGACCAGGCTGGTCTCGAACTCACAGAGCTCCACCTGCCTCTGCCTCCCGAGTGCTGGGATTAAAGGCCACCACCGCCAGGCCATCCTGTTTTATTTAAAACAAAGAGCGAGCACCGGAAGGCTGTAAGGAACATGCCTTGCCTGGCTTGTTTCTGAATGGGAGACATGAGAGAGAAAGGAAGGCCAGACAGCACTACCAGTGCTGGAGAGGGAGCGCAGCCTCCTTAACACCCGGAGCTTTCCCAGTGGGAGAAGGGGATTCTCACTCTAGCCCTAGGAGTAAGCAATGGCTATTCTCCTACCGCCCCTTCCCCCAATTTTACACCACATCTCGAGAGCTCACGAACCCCAACCCGGGTAATTGCCCCCTAATCGCTGCGCTCCCTTGCTGTTTGGAGTCTTGGGTTGCTGGGTGGGGAGCTGCTGGGTGGGCTGCAGGGCGGGCGGGGC